GCGAATCTGCTCTGCAAAGGGAAGTTCCTGCAAGAGGCTGCGTCGGATTGCGGTCGCCCCAATCTGGGGCTCGAGCCGACCTGAAATACAATCTCTGAAGTTTCGTTCACGTCGCTTGTGAACGCGAGGCAGGGGGCGATTCTTGAAGCGGCCGCTTCGAGTGACCGATACATAACCGCCACAGAAGATGTCTGCCGCAGGCCAATGCTCTTGGGCAAGGCGAAGTCGATCCATTGCGTCACTCAGCAGAGCGTCGTCGGAATCGAGAAACAGCACAAACTCGCCACGGCTTTCTTTTACGCCACGATTTCTGGCGGCTGCTGGCCCGTGGTTGGCTGTGCGGACATAGGAGATTGGCCCCGCGACGGAGGCCACCACTTCGCCAGTGTGGTCCGTCGAACCATCGTCGACGACCACGATTTCTGTTTGGTCATCTGCTTGGTAAAGCACCGAATCGAGAGCCCGAGCGATGAACTGAGCTTGATTGTAGGTCGGAATGACGACGGAGTGACGAATTCGACCCATCGCAATAAACTTCTTTCTACATTGAATAAGCAACTCATGCCGCGGCCAACAGTGGAGTGCTCTCCGCTAGTATCTTCGTCTGCCATGCTTCCAGCATTACGGTTTGTGAGCCAGTAAACTCCAAGCGTAACCGCATGCCAGCCGCCCTAAGTTTTCCGCAAATAGTATGTAGCCCCCGCCACGGTCGGTCGCCGCATTGTGGATGGGCTTCGATGAGAAATCGGTCCACGCTTTTGAGTATGCTTAGTGGGGCCTTGTCGATTACGGCGTATTCACTTCCTTCAATGTCGCATTTCAGTAGCGAACAACTTTCGATCTGATGCCGCTCGAACAACTCAGCCAGGCTGACCGATTGAACCACTGTTTCACCCGGATGCGGCCATCGTGCGGCAAGGTGAGGGTGCAGTGAATGCCCACCGGCATTATCACTGAGGTGCAGTCGAACGTTTCTCTCTGAACTCCCGCAAGCTGCCGCGTGAACTAGCTCAACACGTTCTTCTAGGCCATTAAGTACCAGATTGCGACGCGCAAGCTCAAAGTTGTCTGGGCACGACTCGACCGCCACGACTCGGTTCGCTTGCTGCGCGACACGTAGACTGAACAGCCCGATGTTTGCTCCCAGGTCGATGACGGTGTCGAGGGGATGCGCCACGCTGTCCAATTGGTAGACATCATCGCAAAACACTTCGCCGAAGATGTAGTCGTCACCCCGGTCGGGTCTCAGGGCGAGTTGTAAGTCGCTGTGTTGGAAGACAACCGCACCCTCGGGCGTTAGCTCGAGTGAGGGTGGCGAGGCACCATCGAGCCAACAACTGAGAGTGCGTCGAAAGCTACGTGGTTTTTGTATAGTAAGCTCGCCGCCATGACGTAATTCGAGGGTAATTGGACGACGGCGTAATAGGGCCACTTGAAAGTGGGTTCGCAGTGGCGAACGGAACAACGTGTGACAACGTCGTAGACGCCGCGGATGGAGCAGGCGAGTTAAGATCATAGCGGCAATGCGTGTTAGGATTGTAGGCGAGACTTTCTCTACTTCGCTGGCTGCTAAGGCAATTTGCTGGCGCGAAACTGTAGTCGAAGTAACGCACTCGGTCGAGATGGCTTCGGGCTGCTCATGGCTCGGGCAAAACCATGAAAACGACTGATACTTAGGGGATAAAGCTCGCAGAATGACGCCGCCACTTCGTGTTTCCGCGATAATCCCTGCCCTTAATGAAGAAGCTTCAATCGCATTTTCCGTCGAAGCGGCAAGAATGGCGGGAGCCGATGAGGTTTTCGTCGTAGACGGTGGCAGCACTGATGGCACGGCCGAAGTTGCAGAGTCAGGCTCAGCAACGGTTTTGCACAGTTCGCCGGGTAGGGCAGTGCAGATGAACGTCGGGGCAGAGGCATCTACTGGCGACGTGCTTTTGTTTCTACATGCCGACAACTGGTTGGAGGCCGGAGCTGTTGGCCAGATTCGCGAGGCCCTAACCGATGAGCAGGTAGTTGCTGGAGCGTTTCGGCAGCGGATCGAGTCTCCCGGGCTGCTGTATCGTTGGCTCGAATGGGGCAACGCTCGACGAGTGGTCTGGTGGCGAATGGCCTATGGTGACCAGGGGATCTTCGTCCGGCGGGAGGCATTCGAGCGTCTGGGGGGCTTCGCCGAAGTCCCATTTCTGGAAGATGTCTTGTTTTCACGCTCTGTTCACAGCAAGGGAAAGGTCGCGTTGTTGACTGGCCCGCTCCACGTCAGCGCACGACGTTGGCAGAAGCACGGGGTGGTCAGGCAGACGCTAAAAAATTGGCTGATTCTTTCCGCTCACCATTTTGGGGTCTCTCCACAACGCTTGGCACAATATTACCGATCGCATCAGTAGTGCCCACGTGTATTGGTTATTGACACCAATTCTCTACTGATTCTGTATCCATTCCACTGAAATTGTGTGGTCCTGTGAGAGGATTCTGCAGGAGCGTTACATTCTGAACATTAGTACGAGCAATTCTCCGCCAGTTTGCGGGATTTTTCTGACCCGCCCAGAAGAACTGAATTACCTTGGCCCCACTGCGAACTAGACTTGAGCAGATTGCATGAAGACGAATTGAAACCAGAGCCCCTGGTGCTGGGCAGAATATAGAGGTCCGGTTGGTCCGACGAGTTAGTTTTTCTGCAGTGGAGAAGTCGTCTTTCGGCCAACTTCGCATGGGTGAAAGCCTCGGAGTTCCCTTGAACCCATAATTGCACCAGCGTGACTGCTTGCTTCCTAATGATTCACGGCAACAACGACTGAATGTACCCAATGAGCTTATTCGCTGCCGTAAAACTGTCGCCCATCATGTTGCTGTTTTGGCAACTGACGAGCATCGGCTTCTGCATTGCGCTAGGCGTATTGATTGGTCTTCGCGTACGGAGAAGTGGGCTCAAACCCTGGGCATGGCGAAGCGTGCCAGATGCAGTCACGATGGAACCTGAAGTGGCAAACGAGTTGCTTACTCAGTTGCACGAATCGACCATCAATTCAATCGATTCGGTGCGTGTGCATACTAAGTCGCTGCGCAACGCGAATAAAGAACTGCAAGATGTCGTGCGGTCGAACTCCGGCACATTGACCTCTTTCAACGATTTGATCAACGCGATTGTCAGCGACAATAGCCGCCTGGAAACTGAGCTGCGAAACGCCAGTAGCCTGATCGAACATCACGCGGCCCACATTCAGTGCCAGCTCGACGGACTATTGACCGACCCTGTTACGGTCATTCCCAATCGACGGGCTTTTGAATACGAGTTGAAACGTCGCTTCGCCGAGTGGTTGCGGAACAACGTTTCATTCTGCGTGTTGATGTTCGACGTGGACTATTTCAAAGAAATCAACGACCGTTTCGGTCATCAAGTGGGCGACGAAGTGTTGCGCCTCATTGGCCGGCGTTTCCGTGACAAACTCCGCCGGATGGACCTTCCGGCTCGCTTCGGCGGGGACGAGTTCGTCGCCATCTTGCCAGAGACGAATCTGAAAACCGCCTGCGAGGCTGCAGAGCGCTTGCGTATGGCCTTCGATACCGAGCTTTTCGATATCGGGGAGGGGCGCAAGATCCAACTCACGCTCAGCATCGGCGTCGCCGAGGTTGACCGCGCTGACCGCAGTGCTGCCTCGCTGATTCGACGGGCGGACAAGGCCTTGTACGCTTCGAAAGAAGCCGGACGAAATCGCAGTCACCAACACGATCAAATTCAAAGTCAGTTGATCGTCGGCTAACGTCTAACCCAGCATCGTGAGCGGATTTTTGCGGTTTCGAAGTGGCAGGGGCTCGCGCTGCCCGGTGCGTTGCGACTCAAACACGGCTACGATCATTTCGATGGCTGCCCGCGCATCGTAGACGCTGCTCTCGGGTTGACGGTCTTCTTCGACTGCTGCGATCAGGTCTTTGACTGCGGCAACATTGCCCGCATGAAGCCCGCCATCCTTTAGAAGCTCGGGTTTCCCCAGTCCGGCAGAAGATACTTCCTCCCACTGGGGATCATTCGCTGTGGGAACCCAACCCGGCACACCTAGGTAGGCCACTCTCGGCAAATATCCTGTGCCAAGAGCTAGCACACCGCGTGATCCGTAGATCATGAGCCCGAAGCGTGTATTGCGGGCGGCCTTATTGCGGCTCGAGGCGAAGAAGGCCGTTGCACCCTCGGGCATTCCATACATTGCGCGAACGGTATCGCCCGCAAGTGGCCCAATGCCCTCGTTTCCTTCGATAACATCACTTGCCTGAATGTCGCGGCCTTCTACCGAAACCGCACCCATGCACCACTGCGGATCACCACCGAAATTGCGAATCAGGTCGAAAACATGCGTTCCCAGCACCCAGAGGTCTTCGGCTCCACCGCGATGGTCTTCTTTGCCTCGACCGCGATACTCCAGCACATCGCCGATCTTGCCTTGGGCGATAAGGTCTTTTGCCACGCTGATTTTGGGGCTGTACCTGGTTTGGTGAGCGATCGCGAGTTTAGCGTGCGTGCTTTCGCAGGCCCTTACCATTGAATCGGCTTCTTCGAGCGAGCGACAAAATGGTTTTTCGCAATAGATGTGTACTCCGCGGCTAGCGGCCTCAACCACCATGTCGTGATGTGGGTCGAGCCAACGAGGAGCGACGCTCACCAAGTCGGGCTTCACTTCGTCGAGCATCTTGCGATAGTCAGGATAGGCTCGCTCGACGCCGAGTTTCTTCGCCGACTCGGCAAGCCCCTGTTTGTTCTCGTCTGCCACAGCGACCAGTTCAACCTCGGAGATGTCCTTCCAAACGACATCCAGGCCGTGTCCGTAGTTGCCTTTACCCGTCCGGCCAATAACGGCAGCGCGATACTTTTTTCTCATCGTGCACCTCGCAGAGTCCCCACCTTGCAGCAAACTTGATGGACTCAGGATAACTCGCACGAACCTCGAACGCGAACTTTCAAAGCGAACCAATTGCTTCGATGGTGCAAGGGAGCGCCCTGTCGAGGCAACTCACTGGGCCGGAACTGCTTGCTTTGGGTCGAGAAACCATGGCACTTCGGTCGTCAGCCACTGGTAGATCGCGTTGGCGGCGATGGCGTGAGCTTTGGAGTTGGGGTGATGGTCGCAGGGGTGAACCCAGAGTTCTCGAGGGTCTTGGCCGGCGAAAGCGGGGGCCAGGTCGAGCACAGGGATGCCCAGTTGAGTGGCGAGTTGATCAACCTTTTGGTGAATGGGGGCCAAGGGGTAGTCTCCGTCGAGGCCTTCCATCAAAGGATAGATAACCATGGCAACTTCGGCATTTGGCATCTCTGAAAAATGTTTGAAGATGGCCTGCATGACCACGTTCCCCTCAGGGTTCTTTTCTTCGTCATAGCAGTCTAAATACCACTCGAGGGTCTTGCTGTGAACTTGCCGAGTAGTCCAAACGCGTTGAATCAGTTCCAGCAACTTGCTGTGCCGGGTGAGCCAATTAGATGCGAGTTCACTGTCGAGATAGGATTCGCGAACATTGATCAAATCGTTGATTAGGCTTTCCTCCTCACCCTGAGTCTTGCTGGGTGGCATGTCATTGGGGATGAAGATGATCAGCACTCGGGAGCAGTTCAACGGTTCGGCGAGCCGTTCGACCTGGGCATACTCATTGGGTAGGTAAGAACCGGAGCGGGCCGCGTTGATGATCTCGACATCGAGCCCTGCCAAGGCGTTGAGCTGCCGAAACAACGACCGTTCAACAGGCACGCCCACTCCCATGGCGAACGAATCGCCAATTCCCAGCACCCGCAACACGCCCGGGGGCGGAGTAGGCGGATAGGTGCGATCACGGAGCTTCTGGGGCGACATGCGGTATTCTGCGCACCACGGAGTGTCGTTGATCGCTTCCAGCGGAAGTTCGTTCGGCGGTAGTGCAGAATCGTAGAGTCGCCATGGCCCTTGGGTGACATCCGGCACAGGTTTCAAATCGCCGCTGTAGTTGTCGGGGTAGCAGTGATAATTGACGTTCGTTGCTTCACTCACCAGGTAGGTTTTAGCGCCCACGCGAAAAAGATCTTTCCCGAACAACCGCAGGCCGATCTCAGCGATGCCACAACCAAGGACTAATCCCAGCGCGAGCGCCAGGGCTCGAATGAACCACCTTCGAGTTTTTGATTGCGCAGGGAGGGGAGACTGCTCTTGAACGGGCGAGGGTGCCGGGGATCGACCGATTGGTTCGTCGACGGTCAAGAAGCCTACTCCACTAGTGAGCCGGTGCGAGAGGGAAATAGCTACTTCCAATTATCGTCACCGGCCTCGACGCAGTGCAAGTCGGGAGATCGCAGTGATGGCGATTCGTGAGCCATTCAGATATAGCAATTTAGCTGGCAGCCAACATCTCTTGCAGCAACTCCATCGGTAATCCCACCACGTTCGATTCGCTGCCCTCGAGTATCCTGACCCAGCCGAGGCGGTCTTGATATCCGAATGCGCCGGCTTTGCCTTCCCATCCGCCAGTAGCCAGATACTCTTCGATCTGGTCGTCGTTCAGGGTATCCATTTCCAGGGTGGTTTTCGCCACGCGAACCTCAGGTGAACCGCCCGCTAAGTTCCAGACGCACAGTCCGCTGTACACGCGGTGGGTTCGCCCACGCAGGGTGTGCAGCATTTTTCTTGCGTGATCCTCATCGGCAGGTTTTCCTAACGCCTGACCCGCCCATTCGGCCACCGTGTCGCACGCGATAAGAACACCAGTGGAATACTGTGGAGCCACATTCTCTGCTTTCTGGAGGGCGAGCCGCGCGACCATTTCTGGGGGCGACTCGCCACTGCAGACGCCGCACTCGACCGATTCGTCGGGAGCGAAGATCTCGAAACGATAGCCGGCCTCGCGGAGCAGTTCGGCCCGCCGAGGCGAACTACTCGCAAGAATGAGTTTGTCAGGGTGAGTCGAGAGAGAGGGATCGGTGATCATGGGCGAGACCCGCGAAAGGGGTGGTCGGCGGAATGGGGGAGGATCGGTTAAGATGAGGGAAACATCGCTATTCTGACAACTATTGATTGATTCTATTCGTACCGGTAAGGGTCGCAACGCTACCTTGAACTCAACTCCCGCTAAGCTCGAGGTTCTTTACGAAGACAACCACCTGTTGGCAGTAAATAAGCCAGTCGAGTTGCCGACGATGGGAGTCGCTGCGGATAAGCCCAGCTTGCTCTCGATAGCGAAAGACTATATTCGGGACAAGTACCACAAACCGGGCAACGTTTACTTGGGCATTGTCAGCCGGCTCGATGCTCCGGTGTCGGGAGTGGTGTTGATGGCGAGAACCTCGAAAGCGGCCGCTCGGCTCACTGAGCAGTTCAAGCAACGCAGCGTCGAGAAGAAGTATTGGGCACTGGTTGAACCAGGGATAGAGCCCGAGGAGGCCACGCTGGTGGACTGGCTGCGTCACGACGATCGACACCGTCGGGTGAACCTGGCTCAGCCCGGCACCGCCGGGGCGAAGGAGGCTCGGCTCGAATATCGTCTGCTGCGGAAGTTGCCACGAGCGACGCTGGTCGAAGTTCGATTGCTATCTGGTCGAAAGCATCAGATTCGCGTGCAGCTAGCAGCCGCGGGCTATCCTATTTTGGGCGACAGGAAGTACGAGAGCCGACGAAAATTCCCCGCGGGCATCGCCCTGCATGCAAGAAGTTTGGGTTTCGATCACCCAGTGGGAGGGGATCGCATTGAACTTTCTGCGCCGTTACCTCGTAGCTGGGTTGAGTTTGGAGTTAGCGAGCGAACGCCGTGAACCATCAATCACGCTTGATGCATTCAACCGTCACATCCATTTTAAGTGGCACTGAATTTCAAACGTTATATTGTGATATGCAAGTAATTTACGTCTTGCGGCCAGTTTCGAGTCTGGGAGATCGCTTTGCAGTCTCGCACGACCCGTCAAGTGATTGACCTGTCCCGGGCGGTTGGGTATCGCCAGGAACTTTGTGTATTCGCGAAAGAGATCAGGGGTTCGTTCGCGTGTCGACCGACGGACAAAACGATTTTCGCACCTGTGCCTTGGCCAGCGGCCTGGTAACGGAGGAAGATCTGCAGCAGGCGACGATCACGCTTCGCCAGCGAACCCCGATTCATTCCGATAGCGAATTCGAGAAGGCTCTGGCCGGAATCTTGGTCGAGCAGGGGAAGCTGAATCGCTGGCAGTCTGAGCAACTTTTGGCCGGGCGGATGAAGTTCACCCTGGGGCCCTACCGTATGCTCGACTCAATCGGGCAGGGCGGTATGGGGCAGGTCTTTAAGGCCGAACACGAGTGGATGGGCCGCACCGTGGCGGTGAAAGTATTGCCACGGCATAAGTCGACCCCAGAGGCCATCGAGAGCTTCACCCGAGAGGTGAGGGTTCAGGCGCAACTCGATCACCCGAATTTGGTGCGAGCATTCGACGCGGGACACGATGGCAACGTCCACTATTTGGTTACCGAGTATGTTCCGGGGGCCGATCTCCGGCGTTTGCTGCGAAGAAACGGGCCACTCTCGATGTCGCTTGCGGCTTCGATCATCACACAGGTAGCCTTGGGATTGGAGCATGCCCATGCCCAGGGAATGATTCACAGGGATGTGAAGCCGGGTAATGTGCTTGTCACGCCGGCGGGACAGGCGAAGCTGTCGGACTTGGGGCTGGTTGAGATAGCGGTCGATGTGGAAGCCGGCGCGAAGAGCAATCGGATTGTAGGCACGGCCGACTATCTTTCGCCCGAGCAGATTAAATCCCCGCGGGATGTGTCACCCGCCAGCGATATCTACGCCCTGGGCTGCACGCTTTACTATGCTGTGACTGGCAAGGTGCCTTTCCCCGGCGGTACCGTGCGAGAGAAGGCCCGTGCGCATTGCAACTTGCACCCAATCGATCCGCGTCGGCTGAACAGCGAACTGACGCAGGATTTCGTCGACATCATCGCGGACATGATGCACAAGGACCCAAAGAAGCGGATTGGTACGGCCTCTGAAGTCGTCGCCCGATTGGCCCCCTGGGTCGAGAACATGGTTCCGGCGGGGCAATCGGTACCGGTCACGCCTCCTCCCGTGGGCGGAGGCTCAGGGCGCCTTTCCGATACCGACTCGCGAGAGTTGCTGGGAGATTCGTTCTCAGACAGCAGCGAGCATGCCTCGCAGCCGACCCATCCCATTTCTGCGGCAAGTGAAGAAACCGCCGAAACGATTACCGGGATTGAGGAAGTGGACGCCGAACGATGGGAATCGAAAAAATCCCGCCCGAGGTTGTGGACGCGAATCTCTGAATGGCAAATGCCCGAGAACGTTGCAGGATTTCATCCACTGGTGTTCGCCGTGCTCGCGGCCGGGGCATTGGTCGCCATGGCGGTTCTTGGATCGATCGTGATCTCGTCGCTGATGTAGAAGACACGATTGGTGAAATTGAATGCTCAGACAGGTTACTCGCGTGGTGCCTGCGCGATTTCGTCCTCTGACAAGTCGTTTGGCCCGTTGATTGAAGCGGAGGCGGGCTCTGGGGGAATCTCTTGCGACTCTGGAGGGGCCTCGTCTACGGCTGGAACCTCTTCCGGGGTTGGTTCTGGTGCTTGTCGGGCCTGGGCCAGTTGGGCTTCAAGTTCCAGCATGGGGCGAGGGTCGAAGTAATTTGCCATCAGATTCGACGTATCGCCGAACATCTTGTCGATACGCCGTTGGACCACGGGGTCGGACGAAACAATCGCTTGTTCCCGCTGACGCAAATAAACGCGGAACTTGTCTTCTTCCAGGCGGACGCTTCGCAAGCGTTGGACGAGCTGGTCGGCTTGATCGAAATCGCGCGATTCAATTGCTGCCCTGAGTTGCAGCATGAGCATCTCGCGTCGTACAACCAAGTCGACGAGACTTTCCTGGATGCCGGTGATGATCCCGACGACTTGTAGCCGTTCGTCATCGTTGGGGATTTCTGCCACCGTGTCGGGGACCAGCCCAGGGACCACAGGTAGGCGGGCGAGGAAATCACCCCCATGCCGCACAAGCAAGATGCGTAACGGGTGCTCTCCCGAGGGGATATGCACGTTTCCGTACACATCAGATTGACCGAGCAAAGTGGTGGTTTTCGAATCAGCCGGATGGGCATAAACCTCGTAACCCTCGAGCGGTTGCTCGCGATCGCCGCGGGCCACGAGTTGCAGGTTTGTAGTTCCACCTTGCGGTTGTACCAACAAGGCCAGTCGTTCGACGCGCCCTCGCGTGCGACCGCTCAGAGGGCTGCGAAGCCCGCTGTGAATCTGGCATTGGGCCATAGAGTCTTCCAGAGAATCGACCAGGAGATAAGTCCAGTCGATGGGCAGAATCTTCTTGGGGCTACCGTCTCGTTCATTGAATCGCATCAACGGACGTAGTAGGTCACCCGGCTGGATTAAATGCCAGCTTTCATCCGCCCGTGGAAGGGCTCCGCCAAGTAGCCGAATTTCAGCCGACTTCTTTTCCGCTTCTTCGATCTTGCCCAGGGGGGCGAAAGCGGCCAGCATCGCGTCAAAAGTGGTTTCGACCAGTAGGGCAGGCTGGACCGTTGTTCGCTCGATGGTTGGCGACCAGGTACGAGTACGGGCGTCGAATTCCCGACATTGAATGTGGTAGCCCAGCGTGTCTTTGTTAACGTTGATGATGAACAGCTTGTCGAAGAGTTCATCGGCATCCTCGGGAATGTCTTCGGTAACGGGGACATGAGGGGCGATGTTTAGCCAGTCTGCAGCGGATTTCTGTGCAGTCGCGTCTGCTTCGACGATTTCTACATCCCACGTGGCGCCGATCACCGCATCGCATCGATTGACGAGCTGCCAGGCGAGTTGTTGTTGTGGGAGTCCCTCGGCGTTCATCACCGGGTCGGTCGTCACTTGCAGCCGAACTCGGTAGGGGGTCAGTTCCCAAATTGATTGGCCTTGGCTGGATGACGGCGCGTAGCAGAGCATAAGGGTCAGGCCGATAACGGCCCAACCGAATGCAGAACTGCAGGATAAGCCATGGCGGCCTATTCGACGTCGGACGGATACCAAGGGGCGACTTTCCATTGATCGATGTGTTGATAGAGAGCTACCGGCCGGCTGCCGATCCCTTCAACGCGATCGTGATAGGCGAAATAGTCGGTCATTTGCCACAACGGCACAACCGAAACATCGTCGTGAATCAAGCGGTGTAGTTCGAACAACTGCTGGCGAGCGTCTGGCCAGTTGTCAGCGTTTTCCAGTTGCCGCAGGGCAAGTTCCACGTAGGGGCTGGCTCCAGGAGCAATTCCGGCGGGACCGAGCAGACGCCACAGATCTGAGATTGGCTCCCAAAGGGCTAGTTCGGCGTATAGGAAGTCGTAATTCTCTAACGCCGCGCGATTGATCTCCGAACTCAGGGCATGAAGCTCGACATCGACGCCGAGCAGTTGAATGTAGCGAGCGATCTCCTCGCAGGCTGTTGTGGCCACCTCGGTTGGAGCATGGGCAATGCTGATCGTAAACTTCTCCGGCGGTGCCTGCTCCTTTTTGGCCAACGCGGCCGTCGCTTCTGTCATGCCCACGGTGGCGAGTGTGAGTGCCATGCGCGGGTCAAAGTCTCGGGGTTCAACCTGAGGGTTGTACCCGTATCCGCGAGCATCATCTGAAGCCGCACCTCGCACAAGGGGACCCGAGATGACCATGCTATCTGGGTCTTCCCGGTCACGGAGCAGCCGTTGATTGAGAATCCGCTGCCGGTCGATTCCATAGGTAAGTGCTCGTCGGAATGAGCGGCTCGATGCCAATGGTCGGTTGGGGTTTGGGATCAGGCAATGAATGGTTGGAACTGCATAGGGTTCGACATTCAAGTGGTCCATCGCACCAACGCGGGCGACATCCCAGGGGTTAACTCGGTCGAGAACTGCGATCTCTCCTCGTTCCAACGCTGCAATGGCGGACTTCGCATCGGGGTAGTGATGCTCGACAAGCTTGCTGGGA